AATCTAATGGAATAGAAAGGTAAAAATCTAATATGCAAGATAAAAATGGTAAAGAGGTGGAGATATAATGTGTAAGTATATATGTATTATAATAAAACCGTAAAAATAAATATTATATATATTACTAAACTCCAATGAAATCGCACATTTCATGGAATAAATAACCAATTCATTGAATTTTCACAATAGCAAAAGAGGATTATTACGACATTTTTACTACAAAAATATATGAAAAATCAATACAACAAATTTATCTCATTTGTGAAAACAAACTGGAGCAGGTGCGATCGCGTGACGGTGTTCATGCCGTGTGGACCGAAAACTGATGACGTTGGTGATTTTAGCGCAAATTTGGCACAAATGTGGGTGGCGAAGACGGTATCGCTACTTGTGTCTCAATACATAACTAGAGAATACCTGGCTTCCCGTCATACTAAGTTCAAACATGAAGGCGCGGTGCCGTTTTATTTTCAAAGGCTGCATTTATACCACCCGCACGATCGCTAAAAGGTTAAATAAGTTTAAAGAAGAATTTTGGAGTGGTTTATGGAAAATCTTGTTTGCAAAATTGCTCTATTTCACATGAAATTGCACAAAAGTATCCATATTTTTTAAAACGCACCAAACATAATTTAAATTTCTAATTTGAAGAATAGCTTTCAGTTGTTTGTAGTTGGATGAGTTCCTTGACTATTTCGTTTCTCCTACGAACTGTGGAAGGTTGTGATTAAAGTGATTTAAGCGCTTGTTTCTAGCGCCACGAAAATCCACATTTTTAAGATAAAATGACAAAAATGCAAATATGTTTAATTGGTGTGTTAATGTTCTTATTAGGACAGAGATGCATCTCAGGCACTATATAGCCCGTAATTAGAATGCAGCCAGACAATCTCCTGGAAGCCTGCTACCTGGGAACCCGTTGCCGCTCCTTTGGGGGCCCCTAGGTGTAAAATGCCCGATGGTATTCAGAAAGCACTCCCAGCTCTCTGCCAGAGTGGGGGCTCGCTGTCATTGGTCAAACGGCATACGCAAGCGCATCTGTAACTCACACACCTGATAAAAATGTGTACCAACGTAATAAATATAAATGAAATTATTTTTCTATCCCCTTTGAAATTCTTTTTAACATGAAAATGAATACAATCGTAGCATCGTTGACACGCGTTTTATAATATACTCTTATTTTGTGTACATTCCCAGAGAATTACGGCCTGTAACTAATAACACTGCTACAATTATATTTTATGTAATCGTTGGTATGAGAGTTGCCTTTGCAGTTTGTTTTCGTATTCTAGTTGATTTCACGTGCATTTGAGATGGGGTTCTGGTGGCGTGTATGTTGTTTGGTTGCTGTGTTTATAGTGTTTTTTTGCTTTTATTTCATATAAAAACCTGTCTTTTCTCCTTTGGGACAGTCTTTGGATCGTTTAGTGTTTTGTTTCTTTTACGTATAGTTTACCTTTTACAACGTCCCAGCAATATTTTGCAACATTGTGATGGCAAAACAAATAGCAACTTCCTTCACTGAGTTTGAAAAAGCTCTTTTGTGCCAACTGGTTCGAAAACAAAAAATAGTGGAGAATCAAGCTTCTGATAGCACAACAAAGCAAAGATAAAGGGATTTCAAAAATCGGCAATGACATTGAAATTCACGGTCCCGAAACTTCTCTATAGGATTTTGGGGATTCCAGATGTAACGGCAAGGCATTCGTCCTCGTCGATCTTTTTTTCTCCATTTCTTCCATGAATTCATAGAATTCAATCAAGTGGTTATCCATTATACTAAAGTGGACATATTTTGACATCACAAAAATGGGAAATTTTAGTTTTGTCATAATGCTAAAAGGACTAAAATAGAACGTTAAACACTATTTTGTCATAAATATATAGGTTTCAAAATTAAGATTAAATCAATTAATAAATACATAAATACGTATACATTTCCTTACATAAACAGTCAATTCACACCAATCAAAGAATTTTGTAGGTAGGAACATAAATAAAAAAACAGGCATTTGTTTAAATTGCATTTTCATCCATTACGAAGTAGATCAGTGTTTCTTAAGTAAGATTGCGTCACTCAGAAACTCCCAGAAGTGGAAGGGTTGGATTACTGAATTTCTCCACAACAATATCGTTAACAGATAGCACATACAAGTTGAAATGACGACATTGACACATTGACACACTACCTTTTTTTCCTCTTAGAAATAAAAACCGATTAAAAAACTCTTTGTTTCGTGGCATGTGAACACAATATTTTGTCGCACTTCATTTGTTATAAACAATTGCGAAACAAATGTTGTAATACATTTAATATTTTTGACAACATTCTATGCTGACAAATCATTGTCACAAAAAGAACATTTTAGCGTCACGTTTTCCTCTCAAAAATACCGGAGAGGGACTCAGAAGAAGGGACTGTGCCAGCCAATACGGGACGTCTGGTCACCTTACATCATATCGAACGCAGGAGACGGGCGAAATGAACGATTACTTCCAAATTTTTCCGAAGGCATTTGAACGACCAAGAAATAACCTAGTCAGATTGTTACTTTTTTGCATATTACTTGCGTAGTATACACGATTTTCCCCAAAAATTTTATTCCTATTTCAGTCTCACTAAACTCAAACTCTTGTGAATTTGAAACGGATATTGTCATTTAAGGAGTACTTTACTTAAAGCATTTATAACATTTTTAAGTCTTCTAAAATTGACTCAAAATTTTTTTTATTAAAATTTGTTCTGGTATAGCGTAAAGAATGCTTAAAAAATGGGTATGAGTTCCGCTGAACTCTAAATTTTCCAGAATTGCAAAAGTTCTGAACTCTTTCGGCGTCTTCTCACAAGTAGAAGATATAAAATAGATATATTTTTCTATAAAAAATCACAATATTCAAAGACAAATATGAAATGACATGAACAATCTTTCGAATTTATGAGTACCTTTCGCGTTGCAGGAGATGTTACACGATAAGAGATGGCATGTAGTGAGTGCGCCTAAATACATGGATCAGAGCGGTATTCAGGGGATTGTTTCCCTTTTGAGGTAAATGAAGGGCAACTTACAGTTATAAATTAATTGACTTTTAATTTTGCTATGCACGAGTGAATGAAATAAATTAATAGTATGCTGGAGGACCAACGGAAGTTCGTACAGTTTGTTTTTCCTTTTTTATTAAAGTTTAAATTCACTCTACTCACAGTTTGCCGTGCTGCCACCATCAACCCGAACAGATGAGCGTGTGTGGGAGCCGTCAGAGCTGAGGTTGGCTGTATGTGATTCGGCTAGCGGTATTGATATCACAACGGGCAAGGACTCTGTAAATACTGGAGCTGCCCGGTTGTGTAGTCTCGTAGTTTCGGTCAGATGACGGCTGATGCCCGTGAGTGGCTGGAATTTAGAAGCAGCAGCCCGTTGTCCGTGCTAGTTCATTGATGGCGAAATGGTAGGCGCGAAAGAAGCAGCCGACTCGTTAGCGAACTGTCTGCCTGGAGCGAGTATTGATGTACTCGTCCGTTGTTGACAGAGGACAGCAATAGACGTAAACACGTCTTAGTAGAGCAGTCGTAGGCTGATGCCTATGATTGTTAATGAGTTGCATTTGGGGTCTGTCAGTTCTACTAGCAATTGAGCAGTTGTACTTGTTCGAGAAGTTTGACAATTGGTGTCGGTTTTGTTTGACACTTCCGTGCCGGTCACATTTGGTGTGAAACTTCTGTGACGGTGACTGCGTCGGCCATTTCTGTGTTGATCACTTATCTTGTGTGGGAGCGAAGTTCTTTTATTTAAAGTAGCGAATGTTTTTCGAGTGCAGGCAGGGGAGAGCCACGTGACAAAAGCGCAAGCACCCAAGCCCGCGATAGTTGCTCGCTATTTGTTGGCGCCTTGGGGCCCGGGGAGGGAGGCATCACGAGGCATTTTTCGTATCTGAATTCGGTTCTCACGGAACCGCGGCGTGGCACGTCGGTTGAAAGAAAGGCGGCGCGGCCGTAGCCGCAAGCTGATTTGTTTGTCGGCGAGATGTTAAGTAATGTGCTGGTGGAGAGAGGCTCGATTCAGAGAGGTTTGTAGACATCTGGCAGATATCGACGATGAGGGTGAGAAAGGGCGCTGGAGCAGCGCTGACAGCCCTCCAGTGGCCGGCGGGCGCCACGGGGCAGTGTCCGCGGAAAAGCTCGTGTTTGCTAGAAGCCCTTCAGTTGTTTCATTGTCCTTTGGTTCGTACGTACTTCGGCGGGGTTCGCTGGAGCCATGAGAAATGCTCCTGCGCAGACACATTCTACATGAATTACTTTATTTCCTGTGAATGCTTTCCATGAGCAGATGCGCTCTGGACATCGAGGGAGAAGTTTCTGAGGGTAGCGGCGAAGACATGTTTGAAAGCCTGCGGCCGCATGGGCGAAGATATTTACGGGCTGCGTCAGCTAGCGATCGCGAGATTGAATACGCGTACTTTTAAGGGAAATAAGACATGTTTTACGCATTTATTTTTTTCAAAAAATGGCTCCAAATTTTTCTTCTTTTCGTAGAATAAATAAAAAAAATCTTATAAAAATGACGGGTGTTTCATTTACAGTAATCTCCCTTCAACCTAAAAAATTGGCAAAAATAAAATTGAAACAATTTCCTTAAAAATTGTTCTTCAAAATTAGATCTTTACACGCATTTATGTAATTTATTCTTCTAGAAGGAAAAAAATTACAAACAATTTTTTTATAAAACGACTCGAAAGTGCACTTAAAAATAGAGAAATTCTTATTTTCGTTAACATCTCTGAATATTCGAAAATTGCAAAACTTAGAAATAATGCGAGAAAGAACGTGCTTTGTAGCCCCACTAGATTGTTTTAAAAACTAAATTCTTGATAGGTCTAGCAATATTCAGTACACCGTTACTGGGCGATGCAAGAAGGTTTTAGGCGAAACGGGGTGATAACTTAGCGGAGGACGGAACATGTGTTGCGAATGGAAGGAAACCGCCAACATATGTTTACAGGTGTCGTGGGTGCGGCACCGCGACATCCACCTGCTGACGGTGGGGCGCTACACGTACACCAGCGACCAGCGCTTCCAGTCCATCCACTCGCCGCAGACGGAGGACTGGATGCTGCAGATCCGCTACCCGCAGCACCGCGACTCGGGGCTGTACGAGTGCCAGGTCAGCACCACGCCCCCCATCGGACACGCCATGTACCTCTCCGTCGTGGGTGAGTATTCTTAGAGGAACACTTAGTTCCTGGTGTCACTATGCTCTGCTGATTCAAATACAGCTGATTTACTTCAAGAATGTTTCATGACTATTGTTTGAATGCGAATTGCCTTTCGGTAATGTTGGCATTTCATGATCTTCCTCAAGGTTGAAGTGAGCCAGAGAAGTCGACGCTGAGTTTATAGCATTGATAGATAATATACGTAAGGGTAGTGATTGGCTGCGAAGATAGTTTATCAGTAGAAATGTCCGCATCACAACCAACCTTTGAGGCGGAGTCACCCGGACGCATGTCTCTGGTCACGGAAGCACACTTCTTCTAAGGATGTTGACATTTACAATGTGTATGACATACACAATGTGTCTACAACTCACCTTGTATGCTGTTTACTTTGTTAGATATGGCTGGGGCAGAGTTTCCCATTTTAGAAAGCAGAAACGAATAATATTTCATAATTACAACGTTTAATCACAAATATATTATTTTTCACCGGCCCGTGATAGTTTCGTACGAACAATTACACTTATTCTTTCTCGACTTATTTCATGATGCAAACCGTTACAAGATTAATTAATATAAATGTTTCTGCTAATGAAATTCCACAAGAGTAAGTAACAAGGGCGCGAATCACCTCGCGTAAAATCTTTTGCGCATTGTGTAAACTCTTTTCCAACACAATGCGACACTTTGCGAAAGAAGTTACCCACACGTTTCGCGTCGTTTCGCGCTGTATTCGTAATATTTTGCGCACCTTTAATTAGAATGAAAACATTAGCTGTTTTTCACACTAAAAACCAACATGAGAATCCGTGTATTTCAAACGCCGCATAAAGCAAAAAATTGGAAAAACCTGTAAGTTCTGAATCAATATTTGAATCAATATTTGTCCCTCATTTCGGAGCATTTAAGTGAGTTAGGAACATGGAATATTTGCAATTCAGTACTTCAAAAAGGGATTTAAATACTTCGGTGTTACCTCCCAAAAGCTTCTTTGGTCCAATACACTTTCACCAAAATTCACCGCATCATCAACGCCCTTTGCACGTTCCTAAGAAACCAATTAATCCTCACAAAGAAAAGAATCCTCATATATTTTTCTTACATCCGATCCATCCTGAGCTCTGTGCTCTCCACCCATCCCACCTGGACAGCCACACCCCCTACCAACCTCAACTACAGCAACAAATCCGAAAATAGAGTAATCCACCTAATTTTCCTACCCCCGCTATACATCAGGTTTAATGACATCCGCTCCTTACATCACATCCCACACATCCTCACCTACATCCATGACTCCGCCAAAACCATAACCCAAACGTTTACCACCAACTCAATATTCCAAAACTTAATTACTCCACACCTTCACATCCTATCCAATTCTCCCAGACACTCCCGCAAAAAACATCCCGTCGACATTATCCAGTGTTCTTCGCAATCACCTGATGATATAGGCCAAGGACGACCTACGAAGACGACTGACGCACAATTGACATAAAAGCAGAGACGAGACCAACACAACTGGCTAATTATCGACCTGCGAAGTCTGACAAACGACTAACGCCAGTTTCCAATACGCTCCTTCCTTTCCTAAATATCAACCTATCCTAAACTTCACGTCACTTAACCTAACCCTTCCCCATCCCTCCCTTCACCAAAGTATTCTGGAAAAGTAAATATATATTTTAAAAAACTATTATTTCTCCCCAATCTTTCTAACTATTCCCTTCCCATTCTGTTCCCTACCTCCTTTCCCATCGTCCTACAATCCTAATAAAATGACTCATCTAATCTTAAACCAAATAACCCCACTATATTTCACCCAGCTTCCAAATCCCTGTTCTTGAGAGGGGGAGTGGAAGCAGAAAAAACGTAAGAACAAACCACATCATCTTCAACTGGCTGAAGAGTCTCAACTTTTATTTTGGTCACTGAAATAACTGGACTGGAGTAAGAGTCAAAACACATTTTTTTTCGTAATCCGTTACTATAGACAGTCGTCAACAAAAAATACAATACATAATTCGAAAATGTTTGCACGTCTACCAAATGTCTGAAGAAAAATACCTGATATACATGTCACAACCCAATACAGAATCGAGTCGAAGGGAGAGTTTAACAAGAGACGAGTCGCTCTTCTCTTACTCTCTGTACTTTGTCGTCTTCGCCAGGAGAAGGCTACTCTCGCCTCCTTGCTCTGCGTCACTTCCCGCGCCATCTTCTTTTCCCCACCGCTACTTCTCTTGCTGACAGAGGGTAGCTGCCCTGCTACCCTGGCGGTTGCCTCGGGTACGACTTTCACTTGTAAATTAGTCTTAAAAATATTACTCGTGCTTTGGAAAGTCCCAAATACTGAGTTTATTTGCCCACTGGCCAGAGGGTTCTCGATTTATTGGTACTTTATAAAAACCTAGAGTGTGACCTCTGATTAAGTTCTACTTTATATATACGGTAATACAAAAAGTATTTGAAGTTCAATTCTTCAAACATGATCGAATACAGATTTAAGAACAGCATCTCAAACCCCGTATGCCTTTGAAACACCGTTTCTCCAGGTATGTGTCTCAGAATAAATGGTACTCATATCTAGAAAATTTAGAGAAGTCGAAAATTATCACTTTTTACAAATGAACATATGGTTGGAAACAACATAATTCGGATTCCAAAATTTGGCATTTGCACCTGTGTAAAGTCTTAATAGTAAGGCTGCCACAGTCACGTTTTCATCGACGCCTCGTCGATAGCTTTTTCTTTGAGAAATAATGAACTTTCTCAACAAGAAAATAAATAACCTTAATTGACGACTTCTGTCTGCAGTTCACAATTTTTATCTTCCTAAACTATTAGACGTTTTTACTGCTAATGTTTCTAGCGTAACATGTATACATTTGCAAAAACCCTCATTCCCATGCAATTGATAATCTTTCAAACTTGACTCCATGATCTCGCAAAGCATTCGGTTAGTTTATTTCTTCCTCTTCTCTTCTTTCCTCTCTATTCTCTACAATACCCCTATGCAAGGACAAAAACAACTGACAACGGCAACCCGCTATGTTACATCTGATTGTCAAGCAAATACATACAAACAGGTGTTCGGTAAGTCACTTTCTGATGCAAGCAAGGAAGTTCCACGTATCTTCGGAACATCCCACCAGTAAGAAATGATTGTATTATACAAAATTTTGGTCTAGATATTCTGTAGTGATCATTTTACACGTTACCTCTCTACATGTCTGAGAAGACTGTAATATTCATTCCGAGACACCTGTATAATACGCATCTCGAAATGAATTCGGCCGGCTCTTCCTCCCCCCCCAGGGCTGCGAGCGGGGAAAGGCTCGGCTCTTTTCCCGAACGCATCGCTCCCGCGGGCATCGGATGAAATACGCGTGAGCGCACGCGCGGGGCGCCAGACGGATCTCCGCGCACGGGCCCGGGCCTGGCCCCTGGGGTGCGCCCGGCCTCCCGCCCGGCCTCTAATTGCTGGCACCTCCTGTTTTATTCGACAGCTCTTTTTGTCGGAAAGGAATGGCTCTATTTCACAGCTCCCTGTGGGCCGGCGGAAGCTATGCCCCCGGGCGGGGATTAACGTTTTATAACGGGAATTAAACATCGATTGCTGCGGTCATTGGTTTCGCTGTGTGTAGACACATTGATTTAGTAATTGCATGTGACGTAGGAGGAACAGAATGTTCGAGAATGTAAAGTTCATTTTCGTTCGATAAGATTGCAATAACGAATTGTGAAATCCAATAGTATGAAAAAATTGAAGAAAAACAACATTAAAGGTTTTTTGATTTTAATTCTTCTGAACAAATACAAGTCACTAATATAACGCAAGTAGAATTCAGGAAATAAACTGTAATTTAGGGCACTTGATCTACATATTTCTCCATATTTCATCATGCATTTTAAGAAATATATCAAATATACAATTTATTATTTATTACCATGTTACAGATTGTTTTGAATTGATAATATAAAAAGTTATATTTTTCGTTTTTTACGATAAAGAAATAACGCTCACACCGTTTCTGCTACATTAATCAATTAACATAGAAAAGTGTGTCCCCAGAGACGAACACATACAAATACTTGAATATAATGTCTTTGCGGAAAGCCTGTAGTAAAATTTATATTTTTGGAACATTAAAAAATAACTACAGTATAAACTGTTATTTTAAATAATTCTCAAAGATTTTATAAATAATTCTCACATGCGCAAATTTATGGTCCAAATGTAATTTTTTATGCTTAAAATCTAGTAGTATCAATACGCGTGAAGCAACCTTATGCAGATATATCACTTCACAGCTTGACACATAATATTTCCTCTCTGTCCCAGTAGAGCCTGTGACCCTCATAATTGGCGAGCCCGACATGTACATCTACAAGGGCAGCACCATCAACCTCACGTGCGTCGTCCAAACGACAGCCCGGAGCCCCCGCCGGCCATCTACTGGGACGCACAACTCTGAGGTAGTTACAAGAGCAGCGCCATCAACCTCACAGCCCGGAGCCCCCGCGGCCATCTACTGGACGCACAACTCTGAGGTAAGGTACAAGAGCAGCGCCATTCAACCTCACAGCCCGGAGCCCCCGCGCCATCTACTGGACCGCACAACTCTGAGGTAAGGTACAAAGCGAGCGCCATCAACCTGCGACAGCCCGGAGCCCCCGCCGGCATCATCACTGACGCACAACTCTGAGGTAAGGTACAAGCAGCGCGCATCAACCTCACGTGCGGCGTTAAATGCAGCCCGGAGCCCCCGCCGGCCATCTACTGGACGCACAACTCTGACGGTAAGGTACAAGACAGCGCCATCAACCACGCCTATTGTGCGCTATAAATAAATGCAGCCCGGAGCCCCCGCCGGCCATCTACTGGACGCACAACTCTGAGGTAAGGTACAAGAACAGCGCCATCAACCATCACAATCATTTGTCGTAAATAGAAAAAACATGCAACCGAACACTATGGTTTTTTATTGATAATATAAGACCTATTATTGCTTACAACATGATCGATGTCTGTCGGAGAATTTGTAGATTGAGAGAGCTCTTGTGAGGACGAGAGAACATACGAACATTACTGGATTAGGCGGCAGTTGCGGAAGGTAGGTTCACAGTTTAAGATTCTGGCATTCACCTGGCCCTATGAAAATCCCACTGAACAAATAAGCCGGCCTTTAGTCAGGGATCGGCTTTATTTTGCGTCGAAAATACGCCTCCTCGATAACTTCAACAAACGACCTCCCGGTTCACTAAGTTACATTTCTGGCTCTCAACTATTGCACACGGTCATTTTAACGTGTATTTAAGGAAAACCTAAAATTAAAATATATTAGATTAGATTTCTCTAACGTCGTAATACTTCCCTTGATCTCTAATCAGAATACCAATTGAATACTTTGTACCGAAATAAAAAAATTAAAAGCAATAATATATTAGTAACATAATAATTTATCACGTACTTTGTCAAATTTTTCAGCTCCAATCTTTTCACAAGTATAACTCGTTCGTTAATAGAGGATGCACAAACTTCTTTCGAAATCGACTAACAAAATACCAGAATGATCGGGGTTTCAAGGTCCGCCTGGGGCATGATTGCATTTGTGTTCAACCACTCATCTTGTATAGCCATTTACATATTTGTTTTGTTTTGTTTAATAGACTAATATATTTTTCTTCTTTTAATCTGCATACTCTAACTCTATATTTATGTAACCTTTTTACATCCTATTTATAATAATTACTTCAGAGTATTGCATTTTGTATACCCGTTTTATGTCCTTGAAGCCAATGGTAAATACTTTAAACCTCTTTAAAAAAAACATAAATAAAGTCTTTTTAATAATATTTATTAATTTGTTTACCGATAACCACTTAGTATTCCAATAAATACATTCTGCAGTTTCAATTCATTTTTCAAATGTTTCTCCAATTACGCGAAACATAAAGCAATTAGTAAATAATTTAATTTCACAATAATTTATAATTTTCACTTGTTTCTCTTGTTTGTTTAATTCATTTATGCTCAACAATATTTAACCCAAATTGACCCTTTCAGTCTGTATTTTCTCAAGAAGCATTGTCATGTCAACGAATGCGAAAAAGTTGAAAAAATGTCCGCGAGAAACAGAATACAAGGTACACAGAATAGCTAGAAAAATATTTCGACCGAGAGAAACATGAAGAAGTGTTTGTCTTATATCGTATTTTAATGCAGTGTGTTTGACTCTTCATAAAAACATTGTTTCGTTCTGTACTAACCTTGTGTCATTAAATTGCCATTCTAGTGAATGAAACCTTTTGAGATACATGTTTTTAAATCTGCCAGGAAGTGAGTTCTATGATTTGGTGAGAAAAATTATTTTGCTGTAGGAGATCAACTACGACTCCCCGCGTGGCGGCGTGAGCGTCATCACAGAGAAAGGGGACGTGACGACGTCCTATCTGCTCATCCAACGCGCCAACACGCCCGACTCGGGCAAGTACTCCTGCAATCCTTCGAACGCCAACGTCAAGTCAGTTGTCGTTCATGTTTTGAATGGTAAGAATTATGTGGGATAAGTATTCGAAAGTATGCAAGGTAATGCAGTAAACATTAAATATAATGTCTAAGTAAGTTTCGGTTATAATAGGACCGACAAATTATTTTTGTATCAATGTAAACAGGAAGTTATAAATAAATGCTTGAAAGGGCTAGAGCATGTAGGATGTCAAAGATGATTTTTGCCAATGAACACGTGAAAAATATGTTGTAACGAAGTTACAAACGAGAAATTACATTGCATTACGCTAATGCGTTGCGTATGATACTAAGGAAATTTATATTTACTGCGAATGTTCGCAGAGGAGGGGTAGGTACCTCGAGAAACCCTGGTACGCCTTTTAGGTGCTTATAGTATGAAGGTGGGAAGTTGAGAAACCATACGGTTAACCCGGACGCAAGAGAATAGGAAAATAAGAAGTACGAGAAAGTTTGTGCCATTATTTAGCGCCAGTAGTTGGTCTTTGACTTCAAATTCCAAAATTGGTGACTACAACGTGTAATGAGTTCGTATTGTACACCAATCACTTTCTGGCGCAGTCTAGGTTGAACAATGAACAAAAGAACCTCAATATTGTCTTTGCGAGTCATTGTCAGTCGTCCTTAAAGACTTCTTGTCCCTTATATTCCTTCCCTCCAATCCTTCTTGTCCCTCAAATATCTGCTCAAGAGCTGCCTACTTATCAGGGGAGCATCGTAGGTTCACATGAAAAATTCACCACACAAGTACATTAGGAAAAACTGATCATCTGTGACCTCCTAAATGCCCGAGAAGTCGGTTACATTTATTCTGTACCTCCTGTATATACAATGTACGTATGTAATAAGTAAATTTTTAATATTCACTAATATTTATATACGTTATCCCGCAGGTGAACACCCTGCAGCTATGCAGCACGGTGGCCAACTGCGACTGCAGAACCCAGCAGGATTATTTCTGTTTAGCGTGGTGGTAGTGCTGCTAGGGTCGTGAGTCTTTGTTTTTGCCACTGACCTTCACCACCTTCACCTGCCTGATACTCTGTGGGAAGAAATTTTTTTTGAGAAAGTGCGAGTGACTTTTAGAAAGCAGAGATGTGGAATTACTACGCGCAATAGACACTCATGGGACCTCGTTGGTAATTTTTCAGCGTGTTCTCTTATATGGTGCAGTGTGTTTGGCTGTCAATAAGAACATTATTTCGTTCTGTAATATAAAGTGTTTTTTCTTTTTGAATCAGAATTTTGAGATGATGAATATACGAGATATAATTACTGTTGGATATTTGTGACGTATTAGTACATAATCCCAATTCAATGTTCCATTGCTCTTGAACGTCCTGTCCAAATACTCCTATCAATAATGACTTCAATATTGCATTACATGACATTATATATGACTATGTATGACGTTATTAACAGAAACAACAATAATAATATTAGTATTAATAATAATAATAGCAGTACTCGTCAGAGAAAGACACCGGGAGCATTCGTCAGAGAAAGACACCGGGAGAAATTGAAGCAGGTGATGTGGTGCTTTTACTATGCAAATCCAACAATGGGGACTCTGAAATAGAGGTTTTCGAGATACGCTGAGAGAGCATACCAGATATGAAACATACACTGAATTCAAAAAGGCTACCAGAAAAAAATTACATGTACTCAGCAGTGGAAAATTCACAGCACAAAACTTGCTGACATTCAGGAAAATATAGAGAATATTAATCAATCGAATTCACATGACAAAGATTTAGAACCATATAATTTCCCTGAAAACGATGGTCCTGTTGAAGGTTTATCTCATCTCAAGTAAACTGCCGTCAGTGGTAAAATTTCATCAGGTAAGTGTGAAAGTATCGGCTTAGATATAGATATGATGTGAAATATCAACGAATTCGAATCTCGTTCACCGCTGAGGATATACGAATCTGCTGAAGCTAAGAGAGTGTTTGACATAGCTAATTTGGTTTTAAATGAGGTGGTACAGAGCCTGCTAGAGATCTAGATATTATTGAAATCAATGCCATCGTGTATTCAACAGAATCTCCGGTAGCCCAGATAATCGTGAAGCCAGCCACGAACATCGACGGCCGACACCCAAATACAATAAACCACTTTGTACCCCTATGGATGAAAATAATTATGAAACGGACAGCCAACACTGGGAGGGAAATATCACTTAGTCAAGGCAACTTCTAGACCAACAATAGATTTCAACAAAAATGCCCACTATGTTGAATAAAAATGCGAATTTCAAAATGACACAATGAATATAATGGTATCTCAGAAGCAGAAAGAGAAAATACTAGCTTGGTATCAATGCATTATAATATACAAACGTAGAGTAGACTTCCGTGAACATAATCTGTTGTTTGAAATAGATACGAAGAGATTCTATCGCAAAAGTCTCAAAAATCAAAGGGAATGCTGTCTCCAAAATGAGGAGAAATAACTGCCAAAGCGGATGTCGAAACATTTTGGGCAGAACTCTGGGAAGAAAGCAGATCGTACAAAAAGACACATCTTGGTTCCAATCTAAAGTTGAGCTTCCGATGTACTTGTTGCAACAAGGATCATGTTCACGAATTCTCGGAAGAGGACATATGTCAAGCAACTAAGAGCATGGGAAATTGGAAATACCCTGAGATTGATAAGATCCAAAATTGTAGAAATAAGATATCAACAGTGTTACATTCTGATCTACCGAAGACTGATAATAGCATTTGAAAACACCCAAAGGTATTTATAGAATGGCTTATCTGCTAACCAAAATGGGATACAGTTCTTAGGCGGAATGTGTTATGTGTGTGTGTGGCCACTTGTGTAGAGGGTCATTTGTAATGGGTCATTACTTAATAGAATTTGAGATGTGCAGGCTAGAAAAAGAAGAACGCGTGTTACAAATAAACGAAGATCGTATTCTGAGGCGGTGGGAATTGGATGGCAGTACGTGGTGATCAATTGTTGAGGGAGTCTAGTTCCATTTCCTAAAGAAATCCGTGGTGTAAATTATTAATTGGTAAAATGTTTTAAGTGAAATTGGACATAAATCTGTGTGTGGAAAGAAGGAGCTGCCATGAATGGAATTGCACTGGATTTAAATGGAAATTTAAATGGACGCGAGAACGAGATCGCTGGGGACTCGAACAGGGAAGTTCTTACTAGAGCTATAGACATTTTTAATAATGAACGAAGACCAAGTTGTGGAATAAATGAGTAAATTTGAAGTTGATATCAAAAAGGTGTAATGGCCATGCTTGCGAGGGGAGAAATAAAGGAGAACTATTACATAAAAACAGGGTTCTTATTGTGGTCATTTTTGGGATTGTTATATGAAAAGGTATGTATGTGTTATTTATTTATGTCATCTGAAGAACAGGAATTATAATGTTCATTTGATTTGATAATATTTCATTTTGTATTGTTATTATTGGTAAAGGTAAGGCAAATCCCAACTTCCGATTATAAAGAAAACAGTTAATATTATAACGGAAATCTTCGGAACCGAGAATCTGTAGACGAGGTCTTGTCTAACCCACAACAAAAGAAAATTATCATGACGGATGAACGTCGGTACATAAATAGAGTAGTAAATAAATTAAGAAAGCTATTAGCTTTATAATAAAGTAATTGCCGGGTAGTTCAAGGGACAAGTGTCGTTCCTACGGCTGTAAGAAAATCTTGCTACTACATAAAGTCTAGCGTCTTGAATGATGTACGGACAGTGTAGCGCACGATTGGATTTTGAAGACCGTGGAGATCTATGAATTTCATCCTAGAGTTATTGAGTTTTACAAGTTTAGTATGAAGTCGTGGAGTACCAGTGTACTAATACACAGAGGAAATGACGAAGCAGAAAGAATAAGAGATTTGACAGGGGAATCTTTCGCTATCCCCTCTTCTGTTTTGCATTTTAGTTTGATTTCACTTTCTAGACAGTTGTCGCAAACTGGGTTACTAACTCCATGATGATGAAAGACCAGTCTCACATTTTTTTCCGTGGATGATCTTAAAATGTTTGCTGAGAATGAAGCAATTTTCTCCTAAACGCTGTCATCAATTATTTTAGCAATGACGTTACAACACTTTCTCTTCTTACGACGTAAGGTGAGAAAGTTTTCTGACGTAGTGTATTATTGAGTTTATAGTGTACTCATAATACTCTAAACAGAACCCTCTAATATCTCAATAGAGTTATTTGTGTCGGATATGAGTCGTGTAATTTTTTTACAATATTTACACGCATGAATAAAATAAGAAAAAAAATACATTTATTCACTTAAATTGCATTTCCATCTGTGAAAGAAAGACTCATACTTTGCACATAAATAAAACTTGTAGCGGCGACCCTGCAGACCTGCTAATAAAGGAGTCCCGCACAAAGTGGCGAAGTTTATACTCGTTGTAGTGGCGTTATTATGTGCACTCAGGGACGTACGCAAGTTTTGGTCTCTCACAAGACACAATTTTGCTCACAAACATTAATTAGCGCGCGGTTGATATTCAGTTCATGCCACGCTAAAGAGGAGTAATTTGTAACTCATTAAAATATTAAACACATTTGTGTACTTTGCTATTACCGCACAATTAAAGTACTCTTTTAAATAACACAACACACTTATATATATATAATAAGTGTGAATAGCGAATTGCGCAAAACGTGAACTTTGAATATTGAAGAATGATATAAAAATTTTACATGTCGAGCAGAGACCTCTAATCGCCCTAGAGACCGGGTCACCAGATCTATACTTGGGTTTTTATTTCTTGCGGCGTGAGAGCCTATCTTAACGATGGAATATCTCATGGTATGTCGCTTCTTTCTCGGACGTGTCGCCAGATGTCGCATGATCGAAAGCACTGCTCGACACGGTCGGGATCATGCGTGTTTGTACTATAATCTAACTGAACTTCTGTTGTGTTGCAAAATACGTTTTAGTAAAGAAACGTGGGGAGTACTTTGATGAATCAAATTAACAGATTCCAGTGCTCGTATTTGCTCTGTTGCTCGATTGGACGGGGCGCGACGGGGCAGCGCGGGTCGAGCCGAAGGGGTTGGCGGAATCCGGCGCGGAGACGCATCTGCGGAAGGCAGCGCCGGAGACCTGTCTTCCTGCGCTCCTTCGCTCCTACCCAATTGCGTGCGACGAGACGTGGTCCATGGCTTAGAAATAAAACATTTGCAAAAAGCATAAGATATGCGCTGAGGTGTCCAGCAGAAAATACAAATATGGCTGTAATTACAATGCGACGTATGAAACACTTTGTTCGCTTGATCAAAGCGATTGATGCGAAACAGTTTAATATTCTTGAAAAATGAATGATCGAACAGACAATGAGATAAGGGAAATGTTTAAGGAGTCAACGTAAATGCTTCTCTTCCGAACGACTATCTGCAATGGTGTTTTTATTAATCTGACCGTTCAACTAACATATTTCCTAGATTCATTGTAATCAGTGAAAACTTATACTAGCAGAATGATTCTTATTCTGGAACCAAATTGAAAGCAATTGTCTATGCCCGTGGTATATAAGGAGGTCTCAAAATAAGTATCTACGGTATGCAAAAGAGGTAAAAAAGTATCACTTTTTACCAACAGACATCAGGTAGAAAAATGTATATAAAGAAGAGACCTATATGGTGTATGTCCTTAGCAACATCTTATTCACAGGTGTACAGAAAGTTACGTTCTAACACAATATTTTGTGTACCTGCCTAACACCTGTGTATAAAGTGTTGCATAACATTCAGACACACATGCTACATGTATAACTTAGTTTTATGAATTTGACTACTTTTCTTGATTAGCAAAAATGACGATCCATCGACAGAGCCTAGGAATGTGTAAAAGGGTTTTCTGTGACAACCACTGTGGAAACCACAATTAAAAGTCAGCAATTAATTAAAGTTATTCTTAATAATTCGATAATATTTAATTTCAACTTATTACTCTCTTTTAAATTCAATTACACTGCAAGAAAAGTATCCCAATACAAACACTAAAGTACCTAAAAGTGTCATTTCATTCTAATAATTTTCATACTAACAAAAAACATTCGTCATGCATGCAGACTAGTGTTAAATATCAAAGCGGCCAGTGAATGGCGAGAGGAGGATATTGAGCTCCTGGAGCTCCTAAATTTGGGGGGGAAATGAAATATGTATACGGTCGCTAGCAACAAGAAGTGGCAATAATTAAATTAAATCCCTAACTTGAAACACTAAAAAATGTGTCGCAAGAAAGAGGTTTTCAAAGTGCGCATCTAATGAAATGTACAAAG